TTTCTACCAAATAGGGGCTACATAAACCAAAAGATATTTAGAGCTTGTTTGTCTCCCATTATTGGGAGAAAATTAGTGTAATGAATAGTATTTTTTGGAGAATGTGTGGTTGAAAATTAAAGTAACTTTATTGGTTTGTGTGTAGAATATTTTATTGGATGAATGTGTGGTGGTGAATCTTATTGTAGCAAACAATTTTTTGGATTAGTGGTAGACAAATAGGGGCTAAATTTAAGGCTAACGAGACATAAAACTAAAATCATATTCAGCAGTTGGGCATGTCTACATTTGAAGCACTGAGGTGACAGCCAAGATTTCCATGATTTTAGCATGTCTGTCTACCAAATTCAAGTTAGTGGCAAGCGACTCAATAATGTTCCATTGCATGATTATTGATGTCTTCTGTGTATACCCTTTTATTATTAGGGCAATTTTGAATTGTAGCCAAATTCGGGGTGGGCTTAAGAAATCTAGTCGTTCTTTTGAAAGTTCGAAAAAGTGTCCATTTGTCAAAAGATCAAAATGTCCTTTTTCGCAATAATGGAAAATTGAGATATTATAGTGCAATTTAGATGTACAAATCTTGATCTAATTTGAATAATGTTACTTTCCAATAGTTAAGAAAATTATTTTAACGAGAAAAAAACAAATATTGGACGGAAAACACGAGCATGTTAATTATAGAATTTTATGTATTGGAAAAACACGAAATTATAGATTTTGTACGTAACATCGAAGTTAGCAGTGATCTAAGTGATTAATCGATGACTATATTTTTTCTCCTAGGTGTACGCAATGTCAAATTTTGCAGAATTCTATATTTGTTTACACACAAACGTATATTTTGAACATATTGTCGAATTTAGAAGTTAGGCACATCATGAGTATTTTATTTCAACGTAGTGTCAAGTATACTACAAATTTCCAAGTAGAATCAAATTTAAATTCTTAAAGGATGACCTAGTTACAAAATGTATGCCAAACATTATCATACTGTACAATGATTTTTCATGTAATATCATCTCCGACTAATAATCACCCGTGTCTATCCTAATACGCGTGATACATTTCAATGAAGAAACGTGTACAATATAATATGCAAGAACATAAATTTATATTCAATGCCGTTTTATGTACTTGTCAAGAAAATA